CTTACTGTAAAGTACGAACACACAATAATACAATAACAAAAAGACCCCTGTTAAAGACGACAACTAACAATAATACAATACAAAAGACCTCTGTAAAGACGACACACAATATACAATAACAAAAGCCCCTGTAAAAGACGACACACAATATCAATAACAAAAAGCCTCTGTAAAAGACGACACACAATATCAATAACAAAAAGCCCCTGTAAAAGACGACACACAATATTAATAACAAAAAGCCTCTGTAAAAGACGACACACAATATCAATAACAAAAAGCCTCTGTAAAAGAGACACATAATTTCAGTAACAAATATCTGTAAAAGACGACACACGATGTCAGTAACAAATATCCTGTGTAAAAGATGACACATGATGTCAATGACAAATATCATCTGTAAAAGACGACATACAATGACAATATAATTGTTTAAAATAAAATAACAACTCCGAATTTCGTTTAAACAGTAAAAAGATTGTTTTTGTTTTAATCAGTAATTTTCTACAACAAAATCAATTCTGTGAAATACTAATGACAGTTTTTCAACTCGTACACAACCCTCACAAATACACACGTACACACACGTACACACACATACACACAATACGCAACACATACAACACACATTCAACAAACACATATAAAATACACACAACACACACATAATGCAACACACGCACACACACACACATATATATACACATTTACAAAACACACACATAATGCAACACATGCACACACACACACATATATATATATACACACATTCACATATACAAAACAAACACATAATGCAACACATGCACACACACACACATATATATATATACACACATTCACATATACAAAACAAACACATAATGCAACACACGCACACACACACATATATATACACATATACAAAACATACACATGCACACATAATATTTGTTACAGCATATAAAACAGGACTGAATTATGAATGAGTGATTCGAAATTATATAAAATTCGAAACTTTTAAGAATAAGAGCAGTGTCATAATAATAATTTATAGTAATACACGTAAATTGTAATTCATACAGCAGATTGTAGGCACTGTGCTTCTTGGATGTCATTTGGAATGATGAGTGAACTTTATAATCTTGCCATTCGAAATACGAATCAGTGAGACCTAAGCATACAGAAATGTAAGAGACTTACAGCAAGCGAAAGAGAAACGTTTACGCTTAAGATGGACAAACAGACAGACACGATTGACGTAATATTAATTAATTGACTTTCGTATTAAAGCCATCTAGAATCCAGACATAGGTACCTCAGACTTAGAGCCCCCGCCCCCAGCGGCACAGTGGTATGTCTGCGGACTTGTAGTGCTAGAAACCGGGTTTCGATACCCGTGATGGGCAGAGCACAGATAGCCCTTTGTGTAGCTTTGTGCTTTATAACAAACAACAACAAACAACTAACTTAGAACTGCTGACCAATATAGAGTACCAGTTAGCAGTACCCGCCGCCTACGTAGTTACTCTTAACCGAATAGCAGGATTGATGGCCCAGTCAACTGATGTAACTTAGAAGTTAAAATATACGTTTTGTGTCGTGAAAGTTATAGCTCAATATCAGGATGACAGTCCAATATGACTGGTAGGATAAGATATTTTTCATGATAACATTAGTCACGATGTGACCCATTGGCTTAAGCTTTTTTTCTTCAAGGCAGTAACTAAAAACAGAATAATGGATTATATACTTAAGTAAGTACATTAAGAATTAAGCCAATTCGCAGCCGCGAGGTCATATGTTACTCAATTACTATACACCAAAAAAACACACGCTCTAGCCTGGAGATATAGAAAACACTGCAGTCTTTGTGTCTGTTTTACCTTGAGATCCTGATAATGCTTTGGTTTCATCTGCTTCTGAAACGCCTGTAATGTATTTGTTGTTATGTTATTCCGATTCGATTTCATGGGATTATAAACAGATATAAATAATATAATTTTTCATCCACGTTGGAACTTTGAAGTCGTAACTTGAGCTGATTTAAATTCATATAATTTCTATGTGGGCAGATATCCTCAAGAAAAGGCTTAAAGCCTGATAAATGCGACGTTAGGTAGGATGTGTACGTCTTCACATCTCTTTAGATTGTATCGTAATGAAGTTTTGTTACAATAAGTTATTCAAATACGTATGCCAGAAATTTAATGATAGCACTTACAAATTAATATCATTCAAACAGGAATTTATATAATGCATCTTAGAGATAAAGGTGTTTCTTGTGAAGGTCAGCTATTGTTGAGATTTGTTATGATGATAATGATAAATATTTATTGTACTCACTAATCTGCAGAGAACATTAAAAGGGAAGCACTTTTCAAGCATCGTAAGGCAAGCCTATTTTTGGGAGTGAGTTAGATGAGACTATGAGGACTGTGGGTCGCCTCTCGTACACATATGGTAAAAAGCCATATATATTCCTATTCAACTGGTCATATAAACACATTTAAAATTTAAAACTAGATGGCGTATTCTTGCTTATTAACACTTAATAGCGTACCGAAATTATGTGTTTCCTGTAAAGACCTACAAATTTTTGTGTGCCATTCATTTTAAAGCTGATTCTTTTTTCTTAATAACATGCAGCAAGCAAGGTGTAAAATTAGGCGTATCTTTTAGTAGTTGTTGACATCTGTTTATGCTTTAGAAAAAGGGCATTTTGAGGCATAAAGATAGGAAAGCAAGGACTTGAGCCCACCCGACCACCCCCGTGCACGTCACTGATTGTACTGGTATATTTTATATTCGTTCATCATAGTCGTTGACAAGTCGTTCTTTTTTTTATTTCATCCATCAAATATTTCTACTAACTTCTCAAAACAAAATGTTTCAAGCAGAAGAATTTTAAAATTACAAATAACGAAATAAATCCTCCTACATATGGAGGGAATACAAAAGTAATACAGATTCTGACTATCCCCTAAACCTGCATGTTCAAGATAGTATACAGATTCTGACTATCTTCTAAACCTGTATGTTCAAGCTGGTAATACAGATTCTGACTATCTTCTAAACCTGTATGTTCAAGATAGTATACAGATTCTGACTATCTTCTAAACCTGTATGTTCAAGCTGGTAATACAGATTCTGATTATCCTTTAAACCAGCATGTTCAAGTTGGTAATACAGATTCAGATTATCTTTTAAACCTGTATGTTCAAGCTGGTAATACAGATTCTGATTATCCTTGAAACCTGCATGTTCAAGCTGATATACAGATTCTGATTATCCTTTAAACCTGCATGTTCAAGCTGATATACAGATTCTGATTATCCTTTAAACCTGCATGTTCAAGCTGGTAATACAGATTCTGATTACCCTTTAAACCTGCATATTCAAGCTGATGTACAGATTCTGATTATCCTTTAAACCTGCATGTTCAAGCTGATATACAGATTCTGATTATCCTTTAAACCTGCATATTCAAGCTGATGTACAGATTCTGATTATCCTTTAAACCTGCATGTTCAAGCTGATATACAGATTCTCATTATCCTCTAAATCTGCATGATGATAGAAAATCCAACAGTGAAAGTCAAAAACTTCTAATGTATCATTTAGGAAACATTATTACGTTAATTGTTCTGAATGCACAGTTTGTTTTCTACTTTACATTATGCAGACATACGTAAGTGATAAATTATTTTGTTGCATCGTTAGCAATTTTGTCTTGTGTTACATTCAAAAATCGCAAAAGTTATTATTGTATTGATGCATCTTAATTGAATGGCGCAAATATCGGTCCACAAAAAAAGAACAAACTTGGTTTTCTATGTAAAGATGTTATCAAGTGTCTTTAAAACTGTAATATTGAAAAGAAAGCGTGACATTAATTCAGTTAGAACTTTTCAAGCACAGATATTGTGATTAAGCATTTGACATAATCTAGTTATTATTGTATTTTTTACCTCATCTTGCTCTTCACTTATATTTTTTCAGATACAGGTTCTTGCTGTAACTTGGTGTTGAAAACAAATAAAACGAAATAGATTATTTTATAAAATATTAAAACTGGTAATGCTAA